ATATAAGGACGTGATAGCAAAGCAGGGGTGGTGGTATCTAGCAAAATACTCAAAAAAATGTATTTAAATACAAAATACAAAATACTCACAAAAATTGTATTTAAATACAATATACAAAATACTAAAAAAAATGTATTTAAATATATAGTTTCTTTTATTCTTTTTTAAATATAAAACTCTTTTTTCCAATTGTATTTAAACTTATTTAATGCAGGGGTGGGAAAAATACATTAAAATCGCTTTTAAATACGAAATACCTTTTAAAACATATTATATTTAAAGAAAATATACATTTGAAACAAATTTATAAATTTGCAAATTTATAAATGTATATATAAATACATAATAACATAATACATTTTTCCGATTTTATTTACACACTTTAAAACGAAACAAAATATCTTTGGTTTTGTTTGCATTTGCAAATAAAATTAAACTTAGAAACTATATATTATTATAACTTAGTGGCTTTCTTTCGAAGTCTTAAGGCCGCAGCACACACTCTTGCATAACGCATAATGCATAGTGCATAAGCGAATCAACTAATCAGAATCTTTCCTTTCCTCCCATTACATGGAAAAGAAAAATTTTGATTAGTTGATTCCTTCATGCACTATGCATTATGCGTTGTGCAAGAGTGTGTGCTGCGGCCTGTACTGTATGCGTTATGCCAGTGTCACAGTGTTTAATAATTAAGTTCAACATTGTGTATCGGTATCATACTTATATCAGCACGACTTAGGTCTAGAAAGAAAGCCACTAATAAGAGAGTCACCAACAGTCAACTCATTGTGATTCGAATCGCGCTAATTGGCTTGGGGCACAATGGCGCTCAGAAAAGGTTAGAGCTATGGCTCCAGCACACCAGCGCGATGCGCGACGCGATATCCAATAAACGTATTTCTGGAAAAGCAATACGTTGATTGGATAACTCTTCGATATAGGCTCTCTAGCTTTTGATCCCGGATTCCAGGGTACCACCGAGGATCTGATGTATTTAGTATTTACAACAAATTTAAATACAAAATACTCAAAGAAAAAAGTATTTAAATACAAAATACAAAATACCCTCCAAAAAAGTATTTAAATACAAAATACAAAAATGTATTTAAATACGTATTTAAATACATTGTATTTCAAATACTGCCTACCCCTGTAGCAAAGTATGCATGTCTGTTACAGATCAATTATTTAACAGCATGAAGTTCGTTGTCATAATTATCGGATATGTCCGTGTAAAAGAAAATTGTCTTTATCACACCTAAATATGGTTTACTGAAACTATACTTGCTATCAAATTGTCTGCTACACAGAAAATGTTTGCTGCAATGATCAATAGATCGACATAATAGAAAAATGCTTGTCTGTTACAATGATAATATTTAGGCCTCACAGCTAATGGAAATTAGACCTCGCAGATACGACGTCAGGTATCTATATGTTACGAATTTAGCTACCACACGCAAATTCTTGCTGCTGCAACAATTTTTTTTCCGTGATATTGTAAAAATAAATAATTAAATTTTAGACTATATTAATGACAGTATTCCAACTTTGTTTTAAATTAGGTTTCAGCATTATATTGACCAAACCGGAAAAACAAATGTCATCTTTTTTCCCAGTTTTGATGCCTTTCTCTATAGAAGTATGGCTTTCCATGGCTATTGCTTGTATCGTCGCATCGATAATGTTATTTCTTCAGGCAAAGTAAGATTTTTAGAGACAAAATACTGCATAATTTTGAATGTAATAAAAATGTAATAAAAATTATTCTTCTCAAATTAATATCTCTTAAAATGATCTAAAATTAGTAGAGTGAACATAATCGTTAAAAAAATGTGTCTTGTATTTCGTAAATTTAAATTCTTTGTCGAGAATGACACCTGGTAAGTGGAACAATCCGCATCTTCTATGCAATGCCGATCCTGAAGAAAATAATTTTAACTTCAAAAATTCGTTCTACTTGACTATTGGTTCTTTTATGCAACGAGGTTCAAACATACGGCCCAAGTAAGCTTTAATATGATATATCATTATAATTAATAAACATACATTTTTAATTTTGAAGAAATTATTTTTTTAACCAAGAGTTAAATGTTTTAAATTATTATAGTATTTATACATAAAATCACTTTCATTGTAGAGCATCATCTCTGCGCATGCTTGCATGTATATGGTGGTTCTTTACTTTGATCATATACAGCTCATATACAGCGAATCAAGCTGCCTTTCTCAATATGGACAAAATACCTGTTAAAGGAATTGAGGATCTACCCAAACAGACAAAAATTAAATATGGTGCACTAGAGGATGGCATAACAGCAACATTCTTCGAAGTACATTAGTAGCTTATTTATGATCATATTTTAGCTCAATATGAAAATAACTTACAGATATGATTCGATATTATTAAATTGTAGAATTCAAAGTACTTAACGTACAAACAAATATGGATTGCAATGGCGAATTCTAGGCCAAGCGTATTCACATCAAGTTATGAAGAAGGTGCGCAATTCCAAAATCGAACATGCATCACCAACTTGAAAAATACGTGAAAAATGCATAAGAAACCTTCTTTTTTAAAAAGGGTTACATTATTCGAAAAAACAAATTTTTTCTTTTGAATTTTGTTTTTCAAATATCTATATTAATTTTCTATTATATAATACATTCCAGACATCAGCCGAGTTATCCACGGCAAAGGACGATATGCTTTTCTTATGGAAAGTGACGCTATTGAATACATTACGGAGCGCCAATGCAACCTAATTAAAATAGGCAGTGTGTTCGATAACAGAGGCTATGGCATTGCTATGCCACGCAGTAATATTATAACTTCACTACAATACCAATATTATATTTCTTCATTTCTTTATATAAACCATTTCTCTTGCATCTCTTCTGCAGATTCTCGATACAGAGAATTTATTAACCGTGCGATCCGAGTGTTAAAAAAGGAAGATAAACTGAAGGCACTCAAAAAAAAGTGGTGGCAAGAAAGAGGAGGAGGTTTGTGCAAAAAAGATGAAATGGAAAATAATGAAAGCACAAACCAATTAGGGATGGCAAGCCTCAGAGGTGTATTCTTCATTCTAATGTATGGTTGTGGCGCTTCGTTCTTTACCGCAATTTGCGAATTTCTGTGGAATGTACGTAAAGTCGCTGTTACAGAGAAGGTAAATCTTCATTTTATCGTGTTTATTATTAATTTTGTGATAAATTAAGTATTAAAATATTAAATAAAGTAAATTAATTTTCTTCCTTTTAACGAAGTAAAGCACTCAAGAACTTAACAGTACAATATGAAATTTCTTTCTTTTTATGGTAAATTAAATTGTGAAACAAAATCCACAATACGCACATTTTAAGTGTATGTATTATATACCAAACTTAAATTTAATAAGACAGTTACTACATCATTGTGATATATACTAAAGAGGAACTTAATTATTATCTTTCGTACAGATCACAATGTGGGAAGTGCTAGTTGCCGAGTTGAAATTTGCCGTCAACATCTTCGCATTTACGAAACCGGTTAAAATTGCCAAAAGCAGCAACAGTAACATAAGTTCTAGGAAGGATGGATTTGACAGCGCTTGATCTATTGCTGATTCTTTTTTTTATATTGATGTGTTTGGTAAATTCGATAAAAACCATAATAGTACAAATGTGTGTGTGATGATCATGAAATTAATAAATTATTGCCAAAAGAATTTAAGTTTAACTACGAATTTTTTTAAATAATATAAGGATACCTACATTGAAAGCACTAATTCATTAAATAAATATATAAATAGGTGAAGTATATAAATGTGTTTAAAGATGTGTATTAACCATGGGTTGATGTATTCACTAAGCTAAACGATTGTGTCAGTCATCTCTGTATATATACCTCTCTTCTGTAATATTATTTTAAAATGTTAACCATCTTGTACAACAGTTAACATAAGTGTAGTTCGCCAACAAGCAAAAATCGGATTTGCTTCATCAACTGTAGATATTTAGACTTCAATCGAGTCGATCATGAGATCCTTATTAAAAGCATGCATGCTTAAGATTTAACAAAAATAATTTTATAACATTAATTTTCATTTCTATAAGTAAAGCATGACACAGATTAAAAGTATTCTGTATCGTTAGAATGTATTTAAATAAAACTTTTTTTTTAGTAGAGTAATTATTTAGAATATCTCCGCGTCATCTCAAATTTTAATAAAAATACACTTAATCGACGTGTTTTCACTCAAAACGAAAGAATCTGGCAAAAAAACGCGGCGGTCGGCCTCGTGAATCGAGTTTTTAAGAGTTAAAGTTAGAGACTTTAGACTCTAAAATCTCCAACTTTAACTCTTAAAAACTCGATTCACGAGGACGACCGCCGCATTTTTTTTGCCAGATTCTTTCGTTTTGTGTGAAAACACATCGAATAAGTGTATTTTTAATAAGATTTGAGATTGGAGGGGGAGGGGTATTCTAAATAATTACCAAATAAGTTAGAAAATGACAATATAGTTGAGGTACATAAGATCTTAAGATTTGCCTAATAGTATTTTTAAATGTAAATTCCAAAAACATCTTTCATTTATATAAACTGCGAATATTTTACTGTCAGACTTAAAATAATTATAAATTTAAACTAAAACAATAATATCACAACTAAACTGCATCGTGGATTGAATAATAATCCTGCTGGTGTCATTATCCACTTAACAATCGTTAAAACTAAAAAAATCTAAAAAAACGAAGAATTAACATATCATCTAAAGAGATAGAAAGCAGGAATTACCTACGTACGATAAAAAAATCTAAAATCAACACGTCTTATACATTTTTAGCTCTTATACGTTAATTATTTAGTTAGAGTATTGCAGTATACGAAGCTTGACGTACAAATGCACACGCATATTTGACATCGCGTTGTATTACACTATTTATGCCTTAATTAACAAGTGCAATATATTTCGAATAAATTCGTCCTTGTGTTTTACATATTATTTATTAAAATGGATCCACTACAGTGTCTGTTTTCGATTGTATCAGTTTTATTAGTGACAACATTATGTATCTTTGGTCAGATGCGACCAATAAAAATCGGTAAAATCTTTTTTTACAAAATTAATAAATTCTAGAAAGCATATAGCTCGATACGAGAAAATTTTATGTTCAAAAGAATCTTTCAACGACAGAAGCAAAGACTGAAATCTCTACTACTGATAATCTACTCTACTGATACTACATAAATGTAAAAAGTATTTTAAACCAAATCAGTATTTGCGAAGACCCACTTCTTCAAACTACATTACGAAAAATTGTTTATAACAAATATTTTTCACAACATTATACAATTTTAAGTTATATAATATTATTCCCCGAATTTTTATTTTCATTTGAATAAAAAACCGTTTAATTACATTAACTTTCAAGCAAAAATATATTAATTTAAAGTGCAATAGACTTGTAAATACCAGTTCAGATAATTTCATAACGAATACCAATTAGGATTAATATAATATTCCATTTGGCGACTGTTACATACATATTAAATTTAATTAAAAACCGATGTATAAATTATTAATTATCTTCTTCTTTTTTATGACAAATTACGTTATTAAAAAACGCTAGGTAACAATGCTTTGTCGATTCATAGTTAAAACAAAACGGAAAAAGCATCTTTACCATAAAAAATATATCAATATAAAAAAAGTAAAAAATATTTATAATAAAATAATTTTTAATTAAAGTTCATTAGTAATGAATTTCGAGTGTAATAATATCAGTATATATACACAAAGTCACGCAAGAGAAATATTTTTAACGATGTTTACATGAGCTTGTTACTTAATATTGATCCGATACGCGTAATATAAATTGTATAAACTCATGCATAGAGAGAGTCTGCTAGTATTAGCTATTATTAAAGCAAATACACGTAATAATTATTTATACATATAATTAGAAAATTAATTATATATTATATATTAATTATATAAATTATATATTAATTATATAAATACAAATCTTTTTATTTTAAATAAACATTACTAATAAATTTATTGATTAATAATTCAGCACATTTATTTATATTTATTCTTTACAAAAAATGTATATATAATATCAATTTTTTAATTATTTTTTCAATTATTAATACATTTTTAGGAGCAATTTTTCACAAAGGAGAAGAACATCTTCAATCTGTATTCTCGAAAGCAATCTCTGACACAAAAAACGAAAACCATAAACTCGCATTTGAACTTGTAGCAGTCATTAAGTACATCGAAGGCAATACCAATAGCTTTGTGACTGCTATAGCTGGTAAGTATGTGATGAGTTCAATTATTCCGAGTAATGATTATTCCATAATGTTGACATGTATGTTTTCTAATATAATTATAAATCTATTTTCCTATATAACATTCTTATTCTAATCCCAAGAATAGAGATTAAAAAACTCCCACGAATAGAAATTAAAAAACTTTTTAAACTATCTTTACAATTATATATAATGTACATATTGTAATGTAAGATGTTATCAAATTAATCCGTGAAAAGGTGGCATCCTCAATCTTTGAAAAAATTAACTTTCTATAGCATAGAAATGTGCAAACGATAAACAAGCGAATGATATTTAGTAAGTTAATTTTTTCAAAAGTTGGGGCCCCACTTCAGACGAGTATTAAAAATTAAGGTATATTTATAATTGGAAAAGGAACAAGAGATTTATTCTTTTTTAAGATTCTTTTTTATAGAAATACGCGAGGAAATTGGGAAAAACAGATTCATGAAGAAGGCTTTACATTACATAATTATTCTAATTTTAAACACTTTTGTTGATTTACTTATTCGACATTGTATTATTTTCTACATAGCTTGTGAACTTCTTGAGGAAGGTGTGGCAGCCATTTTCGGGCCTTCAAGTCGGTACACTAGTGGCATAGTTGCGAGTATTGCTGCGAGATTTGATATTCCGCATATAGAGTATGTTTGGCGAGAAAACGAAAGAAAAAAAAACCAGAAGAAGGCTTCATCATTAATGACTATAAACATATTCCCTGCCAGTGAACAAGTCAGCCAGGTTAGTCGCAATTTAAAAGAATCATTTCGCAGCTAAGTAGTAGATATGTACACTATGATAACTTGGACATGTTTAACATGGTAAGTAATAATTTAATTTATTTTTATGGTGATTTTTAGATGGATATTTAGTTAATTAATCAAACCGAATAATTACCCAATAGATTTAAACATAATCTGATTTTCTAAGATACAAGTTAAATCGTGATTTTATCACGTTGTACATTCGAAATACAATTATTATATTTGTAACATATTTTTGAACAACAAAATGTACAGGCTATCGCCGCTGTCATTGATTCAATGAACTGGCGAAAATTCGCAGCGATTTACGAAACTGACGAGGGACTGTCGCGCCTTCAGAAGACTTTGACTCTAAAAGGAGACATGAAAGATCCGATTATACATACAGCATGGAAGCTTGACGAAGGGCCGGATTATCGCTCAATGCTTAAACAGATACGCTATTTGCCAGTGTGCAATATAATTATCGATGTTAAGCCGGAAAATATCATGAAAGTACTCTATCAAGCAAAGGAAGTCAGTTTACTAGCAGATTATTCCGACTTCGTAATTACATATTTGGTACTGTATATTAAATATACTGTAGGGTAACTGCGGCTAATATGCCAGTTGGGGGAATATGCCACTCGTTGTGTTTAACAATGATACCGATTAGCAGCGCTTGCGTTAGTGACACAGAATTATTTACAATTGTGTGCTTAACGTGTTGCATAAGTATCAAGAATTTCCTCGCAACAGTATTGGTTTTATGAGGTAAATATGACGACGTGGTATACGAAAATGTACTTCTTATAACTTTTATAGTACTTTATGTAAGTTATTATTTAAACATTACACAATATTTAGCTCGATTAGCTTGTTAATCCATCAGTGTATAGGTTGAAATGAAAATATGCAGTACATCGTTGATTCATCTTTTTAACAGTCGTAGAGGCTCATCATAAGATGAAATGACGTCTTGGGGCAATATGCCACTACTTTTGTTGGGGTAAAATGCCAGTAGTCATTTTCTCTAATATATACCATATATATGGTAGGTTCGGACGCTATAAACAAACGTTTTGCCGCATAATTCCGTTGTGACAGGGGATATTCGTATTGACAAATACTTAATAAATAAACTTAAATGTTTATTTATTTGCTTATTATTGTATTATATTAATTTACTGCTCAATTCAAAATTCTGAATAGAGGATAAGTTTTTAATCCATTTTAATGAATTTTCTTGATTACTACTGACTAGAACTTAGACTACTCTTGTAATACTATGTAAATATAAAGTAAAACCAATATTTATTTATACGTTTCATACTTACACATTACATACTTTTACTTTTGAAAATGGCCCAAAATGTAATTGGATAATATCTAATTGTTGCAGTAGATGGATTCATGTTCGGTGAAAGATATATTTATGGTATTAAAAATGTCTCAAAGTTTATTTTACATGTTGTATAACTTAATCTATCGAAGTTAATATTTATATCCTTGTATTGTTTATATTACCTATATTATGTTACAAATGTATATTTTCATCACAAAAATCATTAATAATGTGTTCTTGCAATAAAAAAAACAAAATAAATGTTATACTTAGTATTTTTTTGTATGTGGCATATTATCCTCATGGTGACATATTACCCATTTTTCAGCACTTTCGTATTTCTTTATTTTTAATAATAAAAAATGAATACATTCGATTCCAATTATACACAAATAATAGATAAAGGATGGAAGAAAAAGATCAGTATGTAAAGTTATTTTAAATTGAACATATAATTACTAAAAAATCTAATTTCGCTTAAGTATGGCATATTCCCCCCACTTACCTTATATAAAATAACAACATGATACTTTCAAAAGCGTATTTCACGTATTATAGGACCAAAAAGATTCATGATTAAAAAAATTAAAAATTAAACTTTTAAAAATTACATTTAAGGAAAATTAGAATAGGTAAAACATAATATTATACGTTATTCTTGTGCATCTCTAATTGCTAGAAAACAAGCTTTTGAAATAATCATTCCGTTAAATCGTAGGATTCATCCACGCTACCTATTGTCGAAATGATAAATGGTACTTCTAATATCACTGGACTGAGCATAAGAGAGAATGATGACATAAAAGGAATTAATTCGGTATTTATTCAACAATACTCCTTAATTATCAGCAATAAGCATAATATAATATACAATAAGGTAATCTCAAAAGTTTATATTGCATTTATATGTACAATTTTTAAGTACTCGCGTCTAGCCAGATCTAGACCACGCAAATTAATGAGTGCGAACAAATCGCTCCAATAATTGCAAACAGTCAGTGCCATTTGATAGTAAAAAATTATAACAAAAAAAGATTATTACTTATTATAGATATCAATGAGTAAATATTCACGAAAGACTAAAATATTTTTGCAATTTTTTGTTGCGCAAGCACTTAAGAAAAAAAAGTATTTATTTATTCTAGCAGACAGATCAACGTCTATGTAATGTTTTCACATTTCAAATTGAGTTATATGACACAGATATTTTATATTAAAAATTCAAAATAAAAAATTACATAAAATTAAATTAACTACTTGAACTAATTTGCGATTTTGTTATAGCTAGATTCAGCGGTCCTCTATGACGCAGTATTTTTGTTGCATGCAGCATTAGAGACTCTAAATGCAAGAAATATTGAAAATGTAGATATGTCCATTGATCCTATACCACTTTCTTGTACTAATAGTACTAGAAAGTATCAAGTAGGACCTAATATTATTAGCGTTATGCGAGAGGTAAGGAGGAGGTCTTTCTTTATCATTTCTTATTTAATAAAAAAATTATAATTTGGCTTTAAGCCTTAAAATATATTATGAAAAAAGTAATTTAATTAACAATGATTTTCTTACATTTTTATATACACTTGCATAAAAAAATAAACTCTTCAAAGTTAATTTAATGCCACATTAAATCTATTAAATGTGACTGACATAATAACGGAGCCAATGTTTACTACCTGAACACAATGTATTCATATAATGAACATTCGCGAAAAAATATTGAAAAATTAATACAAAACTTTTATTATTTACTTTTAACGCAAGAAAATAAATGTTTACTTTTAACGTACGAAATTTTTTCTTACACAGATATCAAAGAGAGGAAAGATAACAGGCATTATGCAACTTGATGAATACGGTCGTCGACGAGATTTTAACGTAACAATCTTGAACTTTCGACAATTGAATATAATAAAAACGGGTTATTGGGATTTTAATGGTATACATGACGCACCGATTACTATGGACGAAGATATTTATTTATACAAAAGATTCATAGAAGAGAGGATATTCAAGATTAGCGTAATTGTAGTACGTAGTACTATTTAACATTGTCGAGTGCTTCTCAGAGTTCGAAATATCATGATATTCTAGTAAAAAAAACCAAATCGTTTACAAATAAATAAAAAATAAGATTAAAAATTAATAAATCGACGTGTTAAATTGATTTATATGAGAATAAAATGAATAAAATGTTAAATAAGTAATATAAGATTAAAATAAGAATATGTATAACGTTATCAATTTATATTAGGCTATTGCCTGGGGGGTTTTAAAAGGAACTAATTCTTTAATGGAATTTTATTGATTCATACGAAAACTTAACTCCTAAATAAGTTACAAAAAAAATGCTATTAAATTGAGCCATGCGTTTCGGAGATAACAGAAAGGGTCACTTTTCTTTATTTTTAATATATCTCGAAAACGACGCAAAATACGAAAAAAATTTGAAGAGAACTTTTTTGTTGGAAATTAAATTTTCTATCGAATACGTATATGTGAAAATTTTTTGCGATATCGTGAGAACCGATAGAATAAAAATAAAACAGAAAGAAGACCCGAAAATTTGCGAAAAATTCAACTTTTTACTTTTTTGCGTATAACTTTTTTTCCATCAGTCGCAACGCTTTTGTCGTTATTAGGGGAAAAGAAGTAGACGTTATAACGAAAAAAATGAGGGCTTGTGGAAGTGTTTCTGATCAATGGTGACTGAGATACCGTTAACGCAAGTTGGACATTTTCAGTCGTTTTTTAGTTTCTGGTTTTATGTTAATTGTATGTTAAATAAATCTCTTATTTATTTTACAATACAGAATCAATATATTTTATATTTCAAAAATTATATATTTTATATAAAAAATAAAAAAAAACATATTTTACAAATAACATATAAATAATCTATTTTTAATAAAAATGTTTAATATAATCAAATTAAAAGTATGACTAAATTAGGCTAATGAGAGTCAAGCAACGTTGAACGGCGCAAAGATAGGTGAAAACCATA